TATATATATATACAGGTTTTGAACAAAGATGTCACATGACCGGATACTGTTGCACGACTTAGAAGAGGTATCTTGGCACCCCAGGGTGTTGGTTTACAGTAGGGTTGTTTTGTTCAATTAAGATCGATTCCTTGATTTTTCGTTTGTTTATGTTTGGTTATTTGTTTAAATGTACAGTGTTTTTAATAGATATACTATGGTTTTCAATGTTATTCCTGTTTTTCCGATGTAGAACTCTGGACAATTATTGTATGTTAATTTGTAAATGTCGTTGGTATTGTGTGATTCTAAATAATTTTTGTTTAGTAACGATTTGAATTTAGGGCCGGGTCATTAATGTTTTTCTTCATTACCCATTCAAGCCGAATCCAAGCATTATTAATACCAATATGATAACTGCATTGGAGAATGAAACGCCTAATTATACTCGTTTATCAACTTCTTATATAGTGATGAACACATTATATTTTTGTATCACATTTACATTTGGACTTCTTGTATCACCTTCAGTTGAGAAACATGTTAAGGAAAACAACTATTCAAGGACATATTTGATCTTACTTCCACTGAATAACTGGAGGCTTGCCAACATTTCAAGTAGTGTATTCCTTATAGAACATTTAGGCTAACAGTATTTCTCTTTTAAGACTAGAAATAAACGACCATATAAGACCAAAATGTTGTTTTTATGTTTCGCTTTACAGCTTCTTCAGGAGCGTTCACTAAAACATAAACCGATCATTGTATACTAACAACTTCTTTCTTTACTGGAAGGTTTTCTCTTCTATTTCTTCATACACACACACACATATGAAGATATCTTATTGGAAATTTCATAGCAGACGATTTATAACGTCATCTTATTCTTCTTGTATTCGTCATCTCTAGTTTTCATTAAACTACTGAACTTTAGCGCTCATTCTTCAGGTAATGGATCTCCCAGCGACTCATCGGTAAGCTTGAAGGCCCATAACGCTAAAAATCAAGATTCGATTCCTGCGGTGAAAAATGGCACATGTATGCGCCCATTGTGCAGATTTACACATAATAACAAACAGACCACTTTGGTTGCACTCTTACAGCAACACATTATCATTCCCGGTTCACTCTATTGAATTCTTCATAATAACCACTAGCGTTTATTGTCTATAATGAGTGTGAGCCACCAAGCCCTAATTCTCCCATGTGCGTTAAGTCGTTTTGCGTAATAAATCCTTAACACATTATATACGTGAAAGCTTACTTAGCTGCCTTCTTATTTGTTTCTAAATATTGCCATTTATAAAGTTTGCTTAATGATTATATCATTACATATCTCTAAAATTATGTTTAATAAATAGTAAGTGATAAATTTCCAAGTGATTTTAATAAATAACTGACTCGTTCTCAGCTGTTCCCTTGCCAAATTACAAGTTACAGTAGTAGCAATATTTTGACACATCATGCTTTGTTGATGAAAATTTCATTATAAATTGAAGGTACTAATAATATAAAACTAGATTGGATACTTTATTGGTTTTTTCAGTTTTACCTCTCAACGCTTTATCTATTTGTTTGTACTTAAGCACCATGCTACACAATGGGCTATCTGTGCTCTGCCCACCACGGGTATCGAAACCCGATTTCTAGCGTTGTAAGTCCGCTGTGCCACTGGGGGGCCGCTTTATCTATAAGGTTTATCTACCACAGCGCTCACTCTGGCTACTCCTGGTGCATGCTAGTTTTCATATTTAATTTTGTAAGAAGTAAAATACAATAGATACAGAAATATCTAAAACAAATAAGCTCTATTTCAGGTTGCACGTGAACGAACTACGTAATGTATTAAAATCATATACATAACGGACGTTCCCACGATTGCTGTAAGAACTCAAAATGTTTGAGTCTTCTCTAAAGAAGAACAAGCACCCGATGAAAGGCGCAAGTTCAGCTTTGTTTCTTTCGTAGATAAATAATAGTTTCAGTAAGTTGCATCAAACGATGAATACTAAATACCAGCGTTGAATAATCAAAGTTTCAAGAAAAGGCTCATGAGACTGTTTCATCGCTGAACCAATAAAAAATGCTATCACCGTTCACATTTATATGTGATAGGCCGATGATTGGCTCTATTTAGTAATAGTTTCATCATGCTGATATAGAAAAGTTCTTTGGTTTTGTAATTTTTCTAATCTGTTTTATGTCCAGTAAACATGGCCTATTCCACCAGCGAAAAAATGTTTCTTTCACTAGCCTTGTGCAGAATTTATGCTCCTTCATTCCTGCCCCAAAATGATTTTTTTTTTTTTGCAGGAACATGATATTTCATAAATGATGTTTTTGTGTTTATCGACAGTTGTTAATTGTTTAGTTTTAACAAGGATAGATCTAAGTATTATATAAGATTTTCAACGGCCACAATGTTGAACTTTTCGTCTACATGTTTGACCTTCTCACTTAGGTTTGGCTTCCGTGTGTGTGTGAAACATGAGTTGTCATTATGATTTCATATTTTTTAAACTATATTTTAACTGAATGGCCATTAACAATTATAACTAATTAACTAATAATGCAAACCATCTAAAATATATAATACGTGTCTTTACATAAGTGAATAATATTTTACTTATAAGGTTACGTTATAATATCTTAAAAAAGAAACAAGGATTCTGAAGTAACAAACCGATACCAATTTGATAAAATTGAGTTGAAATAATAATAAAACTGTTTATGACATTTACTTTATGAACCCAATAATAATATATTAAATGACCTCTTCCTGATCACGGAATAACTTATTATTAGGATAACTCCAGGATTTGGACTTTTAAACATTTACAACCTATCATATCGAAACTGTATTCATCTTAATACTTAACATTTTTGACATGCTTTGAAACTAGAGTTTTTTTATTTATGGTTTTCTTTCATTTTTAATTAAATTAATTAATATTGTAACCTAAAATTCCTATTAAGTATTTCATATGATCGTAAACTTTAGTTTTCTTTTTGATTATTATCTTATATTTATTTTATTATTAACAACAAAATTCGTTGTAAGTAGTTTCGTAATAATTGAAATATATTTAATACGCAAGTGAGCTATTTTTGCAGATCAAAGTTGTATTGAAATTGTTCTTATTAATATAACTTGGGCTGTTTTAATCGAAACTACGAAGTAAATGAAGAGTGTTAAAAAGTTATGAATCCGCTTTAAAATATGAATCCCTGTTATCTTTTTAATTATTATTTTCTCTCCCCCGGTGGGACTACGGTAAGCTTACGGACTTCAACTCTAAAATCCGAGATTGGATTCCCCGCGGTGAACATAGCAGATAGTAGTCCAACGTGACATTGTTCTAAAGTAACAAAACAACCAATTATTTTCAAATTATTCTTGTTTTAATTGGATAAACTACAACTATATTTAACCTACAAATATATATTTGGAATAAAGGTCTAGGAAACACACTGTTTACTAATTTAGAGCAGCAGAGTTTTAACTCCTAGTCATACCATTAAGTATTAATCTTCTGTTATTGCATTTATAACAAACTTTTTAGACAATGAATACATATCTAGTAATCAAACGTAGTAGTTACTATCTATATAAAAAAAAGAAGAAGAAAACTAAAAACTAACATTCTGAAACAATAGTAACTACTACGTTTGAAACTAGATAAAAAAGTGTTAGTTTTAGTTTTTCTTTTCTGAAACGTTTCAAACGTAGTAGTTACTATCTAGATAAAAAAGAAGAAAAAACACTAAAACTAACATTCTGAAAATCTCATTTATTATGCGGTTTTCTGTTAAATGAAATTGAAAAATATTTCTGCTTGAAAATCCACAGTAGACTTGAAAGAAAAAACACAGTTCTTAGACCAACTGTGATTGGATAAATATCTCGTTCCATTGCAGGAAGAATGTAGAAATCTACATAACAGTACAGGAAACAACGAATACCTTCGAGTAGGGGCGCCCAATACCTGAAAAAAAAAAAGAGAGATTAGTAAATGTATTTTCTCTTATGAGAAATATCATGAATTTTGATACTTGTTCATACATATTGTTTGTTTCCGATTAAGCACAAAGCTACACAATGGGTTACCTGTGCTCTGCCCACCACGGGTATCGAAACCCGGTTTCTAGCGTTGTAAGTCCGCAGACATACCGCTGAGCCACTGGGAGGCCGTTCATACATATAGCAGTGAGTTTGTAGAACAAAGCTACACAATGAAATATCTATAGCGTGCCCACCGCGGGTAATGAAACCCGATTTTTAACGTTATAAGTTTACTACTGAGCCACTGGGGCTATTGTAGAAAACATACTGTATGTGGACGCCGGTTTGTAAGACCTCGGCAGATCATAGGTACTAAAATCCATTCGAGCTGCATGGAGGACATTTGAGGTTTGTTATAGAATGAGATTGTTATGGTTACAATTATGTTATAGTTACATACACGTGTGCAAGGCTAAATACATACATCTATACATACAAGTATAATGCTATATACATATATCAAAATACACATAATCAAATTCACTAGTAGCTTTAAATAGACTACCCCTGGCTCACACTCAATTACTTCAGCAAACTTCTTGAACTATCTCCACTATTTATGCCTCGATAGCTGTGACACCATAATGTTGTGCTATCTACAAGCTATTATACTCAGCATGTCTTCTGGCATTATGAAATAAATAATCACTAGAAGAATCAGCCAAACAAAGAACTTTGAGCTAAACTTCTCATAATCTAAGATTAAGATTAGTGCAGTTACTTACGTATATATCCATTCACGTTCAGATGAAACACAATTCTCTCATTGCATATGCAGGAGTTATATACACAAATAGATGTAAACTGGAGAATCAAGTGAGGACAATATGGTATGCTCTAAAACTCTCTCACCATTCAGTTTGATCAAATCAGTGATTCTCATGAAATGTAGGACAACCTTTTGCCTTAAAAATAGCTTAATAGCTCAGAGAAAAGGGCTGAAAAACCCTTTTGATTAAGTTTTAAACTCTTAGCAATTATCTTCAGTTGTGAAAATTGTTAATGTTCTAGGCAATATATCTACTAGAACCAGCCATCTTAAGCTGTGTGATAATCAAGCAGTTATCATCTGATATCTTTTGAAGTAAGGTTCTGCTCAATGGCTTGGAAAGCAAGAGTCACAAAGTTCAATTCACGACCAACAAACCTACCTAGCTTTTGATAATTAAGCCAGAATCCGAAAATGTGGTATATATGGTGTACTGTGAAATAACATAGAATAGATTGGAAAGCAAGGAACAAAACTTTCCTTCAGTCATTGATCTTTCTACTAAATGATCATCCTAGCTACTGCTATCTGTTTATTTCCATCTGTATTTACGAGGAGGTTGGTGAAGTGGCTCAGCTGACTGTCTCAGCTGTCTCACACCTCTTACTTGGGCACTTCCTCATCGAGCTTGTCATGCACAGCTAGGTGAATACTCTCAGCTACAGTCTTGACAAAAATGCTTGCATATTGTTCTATAGTGATGCTATGGAGTAGTTATTGAGTAAATGCCCAAGTAGTAAAAGAGAAAGTAACGTATGATTGGATATACATGTACGAACTGTTATTCTGGGCTGTATATGGTATTTGAGCACACGAGTGTTTTGTATAAGATGATGTTCTTTTGATATAATCTTTTTCAAAACAGATCAACACTTTATTCAAACAATTTCTCTGTACAGTCAAGCATCATTAGGTACGAGAAGTTATAGGGCATCAAATTGTTTGACTGTCCAGAAATAGCGTGAAGAAAACGGACATTGCGAGAACAGTAGAGTATTTCCAGTGGCTGTATCCAAAGTCTTGAAACTTCATCAGACTACAGGAAACGTTGTTCCAGGAAAGTCTACCGGTAGACATCGAAAAACTACTGCCCAATATGACCATGTTTTGATCAGGTAAACATGTCAAAGTTGAAAGAAGTCATACCTTATGACAGGAATAACATGAACACATTCATTCCAGGGTATCTAAAAGAACAGTGAATAGGAGACTGACCAAACAAAGTTATTTTGAAAGAAGGACTATTTGCAATCGGATATTAACCCGAATTCACCACCGTCTTACTTGGGCAAGACTCTTTTCAGGTAAGTCCTGTTTCCGGCTTGTTAAAGCTGATCGTAGGATTCGTGTCCGTCGTTTGTCTAGAGACCAAATGAGGGAAGACTGTCTTTCCTACAGGGAACACACAGGAGGTGGTGCAGTACATGTTTGGGCAGCTATTCATCATTGTGGAACACCTACTCTTCATATCTTCCAGGTAAATGTCAATGGCGCCTCTTACAGGCATCACATGGAGATGATATTTTTATCATGTGTAAGGGCAAGTTTTGGCCACAACTTTGTGTTCCAGGATGACAATGTTACTGCCCATAGTGCACGTATTATACAGGATTATTTCAACCAGGAGACCATTACAAGATTGTTATGGCCAGCAAAGTCTCCAGATTGTAATTTCATTGAGAATTGCTGAGCTGAATTGAGCCAGAAAATTGCTAACCGTGACCACAAACTAGCTACTGTAGCTGAATTGCAGCACCTTCTAGTGATATGTTGGATGCAATAATGGTGGATTACATCAATAACCTCACCAACAGCTTGCCATGTCGCCTTGCAGAGGTTATTAGAGTACGAGGAGGAACAACCAACTATTTAAAGTTTAATATGAACCGATATAAAGTTACAGACGCTATTTATAATCATTTTATGTTATCATTATGTGTGTTTTGGTAAGGTTGTGTTGTGATAAGTGAAATGCTAAATACACATCTTTTTACAGGTGTCTCATAAATTTCTTTGCTGTTCTAATAAATCGTTCATAACTCCTGTCTCTTTATTCAAATTACATATGTAGATGTTTAATATAACATGCATTTTTCCGTTTGACAGTGTATTTGTATTCCATCTTAATAATAATGAACGTATTTGTTACAAAATATGTAAACATTTTGGCCAAGCCTGTATTTCCTCTTCATTGGCTGACTAAAGGTGATATAAAGCACCACACTCATTCTTCTCTGACTCATTAGTCTCAACCTTTGTTTACTGGTCAAGCCAGTACATGAGAGATTCATCTGTAACTTACAAATGCAGCTTGTTACCATATAACACGCTCTTTTGCATGATTTGGAACTGCTGTAATTCATAGGTTTATGGACCAATCAGTCAGAGTAGGAGTTAAGGACCTTTCGCCAGAGTTAAGCCACTTCTCTGCTGCTGGCATTTACGAAAGCCACAACCAGTCTTGATACTTGTACATTCATTTCTTAAGTGTTTTTTTGTGCCTTTTTCTGTCACATGGTAGTTTTCCTGGCTTTGGATACGCAATAGTTGTGTACACCAACTCTTGCAGGCTCAACCATTCCACGTATTTTTGTGGACATTGTGAGACATCTATCTGCCATACATCATATTTGCTGGGAGAAGTGTTTATCATTCCAACATAGGTTTCTTAAATGTGTAACCTGTTGAGCTCATTTTAATTGCTCTCTAAGTCATCATGACGTACTGCAAAGTTTGCCCTAGTCAGACTGGCAGCATCAGTTCAGTAGTCTGCATTACATTCTATTCTAACTCATTGGACTGTGGTGGTACATCAAGGTGCACATCTGTCACACCTAACACTTTACATGGTTATAGTATAGATACCTATTGCAATTAGTTCTCTGATACATGTGAAACTCTTTGCATGCTCCAGATCTTTCTTAGTCATACAGCATCAGAATTCAGGTGGCATGAGCATATGATTAGCATAAGTGAACAGATGTTCCATTCCATGCAACAATGTGACGACACTGTTCGATTCCACTATTGCTGGTATCTGTATACAACATAAACTCAAAGTTCTTCCCTGGACACACCAGTAATGGGATTCCAATATATCACGCTTCAGTGGCAGGAATGTTTGCTCACATACTTCCCTCCACCTGCAATATATCTCGAATTCAGTGAAGGGAGAAAATGGTGCGTCAGCAGTTCTGGATAAGTTGGCCACAAATCATCATTAATGTGACACAAAACCAAGGAAACTGCAGACTTCTCATTTGGTCACAAGTTGAGGCTAATCTCACATTTCTGTGATTTTAGCATTTTTATCCATTTTTATCCACATTGTGGCCAGTAATATATATTTCATTGGAAATGAATGCACATTTTCCTCTTTTCTCTTTTATACCCGTCTTTCTTTTCTGTTAGAATATCGTTTTCAGGTTCTCGGCCACAGACGCAAACATGAAACAAATTATAGTATTTTGGCACTTGTGAATAAAGTTAAAATCATAAATAATATTCAACGTTAAGCTGGTACACAATTATAAATATTTTATTTAGGCCCATCTATGGCCTTCAAAGAGTTGACGACTCTACATGTTACAACGTCATTCTCAAATTCCAAGATGTCGTCCACATAGATCCGTCATTTCTCTCATTGCAGACCCTTCAGTGTAAGTTTCGGTAGCACGAATAAAAACTAAGCGACTCTCTTGACCAATGTGAAAACCATAACATGCCAGTATACTACACAGCTAGGTTAAGATGCTATCAAAGAGGGTTAGACATTTTGCTAATGCATGTTGTACTAAAAACTAAAATCAAGAGAATCTCTGTAGAAAGAAATTTGTTGGTAGGTCCATTCAATTTGTTGTCTTGAATTTAGTGTTTCAGTTTTGTGCAATATTATTTAAAGGTATTGCCATTATTTTTCATTTACTTTAGATGATTTAGTTGGAAGTAGATTAGAAATATTTTACTAATAATATACACTTATTTTTTGCTTAATGGACATGCAATTATGAGATTTTGTTTTTTTCTCTTTCTCTAGAAAGCGAATTATTGGCAAGATGTGTTGATCAATATTTATGTGGAAACTAATAAAATATTTCACATTTTTCTCTGCATAACTCCATTATCTCTAATTTTGTGTTTCTATCGAAATTCCAACGAAAACCTATGCAAGTGAAATTCTTATTCTGATTAAGCTTGTGCAAAGTTAAACGTAGATTTCTGAAATCTGGGTATTTTCTGTTAATGAATATTTGTAACTTGAAAATAAAGAGTAAACATATACAGAATTTACTAAACAAGAAATAATAAAACAGAAATATGTTAAATAAGAAGCGTTATACCTATTACAGAATTTACTAAACAAGAAATAATAAAACAGAAATATGTTAAATAAGAAGCGTTATACCTATTACAGAATTTACTAAACAAGAAATAATAAAACAGAAATATGTTAAATAAGAAGCGTTATATCTATTTAAGGGTTAAGGAAGTATGCAAGATGATTACTCAATATTATATTAATGAAATGAAATAAGCCACGAAAAGCTATCTCATAAACGCATTCTATTCTTACTGACAACTACAAGCAGAAAATGTATACGAAGGTGAAGTGTTTTATGTGTTGTGTTTGTGCGTAAAGAAGCATAGAACATAGAAATTAGTGTCGCGATATACCAACTTTCATTTTAGAAAGATGAATATAAGCCATGTAGATAGGGGAAATCAGACCCCGAATTTTTTGCGTTGTAAGTCCTGAAACTTACCACGGATGCACCAGAGAGCAAGTTGTACAATAATAGCATATCTTCATCCATTTTGAATAGAAGAAAATACTATACAGCATATCTGATTGTTCAAAATTATTCTTTTTTTATAACATTTTATTAATTTCTATGTTTGTTATTTTAATCAAAAATTGCAAGTTTTACTGCTCGTTATAAACAAAACCCCCAAAACCCGTATATTCAATATGCATAAAACAATGAATGTCACCCACTCGCTAAACGGTAAACCTGGGGGATTGTATAGCTAAACAAAGAGTTCTATCTCTGAGATGAGCACAGACAGATGGATACTCCACTGAGTAGCTTTGCGCCTAGCAACAAACAAACAAAGCCCTAATACAAAAATTACTTTTGTAATCTATAGGTTTTGGCTGGTAAATAGTTATTTGATTAGAAAACGAGGTCAAAAGTTTATATTTATGAGAAGTGCTTACTTGTTGTCCATGATGGCTCCAAATGATACTTGGGTAATGAAACAGTACATTACTCCACCAATTACAATCAGTTGGCTTAACTTCTAGAAAAAGAAAAGAACAACAACAACAAAAGTGTGGAAGGATAATATTATATTCTACATTTTTCACTAGCTAATTAAAACATTATTAGAAGCTCACATTTATTTTTCTCTGTGTGAATATATCAACTTAAATGTTTTATAGCAAATTACAAAGAAATCACGATTCTACAAATAACTGTATTTAGGTTTAATAAGGTAGTTTAGTTTAATACATATATACGAAATGACTGAATGAATCAGAAATGGTTTGTTTGTTTTTTTGGAATTTCGCGCAAAGTTACACGAGGGCTATCTGCGCTAGCCGTCCCTAATTTAGCAGTGTAAGACTAGAGGGAAGGCAGCTAGTCATCACCACCGCCAACTCTTGGGCTACTCTTTTACCAACGAGTAGTGGGATTGACCGTCACATTATAACGCCCCCACGGCTGAAAGGGCGAGCATGTTTGGTGACATGCGGATTCGAACCCGCGACCCTCAGATTGTGAGTCGAGCGCCTTTTCCACCTGGCAATGCCGGGCACATCCGAAATGGTAAGGTATCAGAAATTATTTACAATTTGGAAATTTCAATATGAACGTCACCTTGTGCAAATATAGATAAACATCTATCAGAGGTGTTCTTAATTTTGAACTATTTATCAGAGGGAAGACAGCTGGCTAGCAGCACCCGCAGTCACAAAGGCTTTGTCTGAATCTTTGAACCAAATAATGATTTTAACTGTCACTCTTATAACGTCTCCACAGCTGAAAATGCGGAGAATGTTCAGTGGCTTCACGTCACGAACACCTCGATCCCTATCCACACTCGCTACTTATTATATCAAGCCCGAAAAAAAAATGAGTCAAATTAAAAAAAAATAGAATTATTTCTTAAAATATGTGAAATTACAAAAATAAAAAAACTACCTGAGCACTGAGAATAAGTGGGGTAATCTTGGCTATTCCCTTTTTGTTCTCAACCTTTACGTTAATAGACTCATTTTTTAATAAAGTAGCCTATACAGTAATTTACTTTAATAGCTTTATTCATTTGATTATGTTAGTAAAATTAATGTTATAGCGTTATCTCCTAGTTGTATCTTCTATTTGTTATAGCGTTATCTCCTAGTTGTATCTTTTATATGTTATAGCGTTATCTCCTAGTTGTATCTTCTATATGTTATAGCGTTATCTCCTAGTTGTATCTTCTATATGTTATAGCGTTATCTCCTAGTTGTATCTTCTATATGTTATAGCGTTATCTCCTAGTTGTATCTTCTATATGTTATAGCGTTATCTCCTAGTTGTATCTTCTATATGTTATAGCGTTATCTCCTAGTTGTATCTTCTATTTCAGATTCTTATGTCTCCACAGAGAAACATAATGTTTTTCTGTTGTTTCTTCTTTTTTCTTCTTCTTCCAAACCCTTTTCAATCGACCACTATTTCTTTCATTTCTTGAAACTTGGTCCAATTCGACCAGACACATTATTTGATTTTTTTTTTTTATCTAAGCCTCTTTAAAGATTTTTATTGGGTTAAAAGTAAAACAGCACAAAAATATACATTTTGGGCTCTAGTGTGGTCATATTTACAGCAATCAAGATGAAAATTAGCAAAATAAAATGTTCATGTTCATAACACATTTATACAGAGAAAAAGGTTGAATTTGCCGACTTTGAGTCTTTTTAGAGGGTCAGGGCTCACAAAAAAGCATAATTTAGGGATTTTGGGTCAATAACTTGGCCATATTTTGATCAATTTACACGGGATTTGGTACAAAGATACTTCTCTATAGATCCCACACACTGATAAACAAAAATGGTGGACTTGCCCCTTTTTAGTAATTATAGCGGTAAAAATCCATAAAAAAGCACAATTTTAGTTTTTTTTTGACAATTATTCCGTCGTATTTCGGCCCATTTGCATTGGTATTTGGCACAAAGATGCTTTTTTACAGGTCCCATATATACATTTACAAAAATGTCAGATTTCTCCATTCTTTGTCATTTTAGAGGGCCAAAAGGTTAAATAAACACATAATTTTAGGGGTTTTGGTCAATTACATAGTCTTGGTTTGACCAATTTATGTGGAATTCAGAACAAAGATACTTTTTCCAGCTCCCAAACAGTGACGTAGTAATTTTTCAGCAAGGAACGCACAACTTGGGGTTTTCGTGAACTATTATGTGTAACTTGCATGGTTTGGTACAAGGATACTGTCTTGTATGTCCCAAAGAGTGATATAGGCAGTTTTCGGTTTTCTGTGTTTTTCCCGATTTTTATGGTGTCAAATTTGGCCATTTTGGGATTGCGTGATGGAGAAATGTTACATTCACCCGCGAATGTTGACCTCTTTAATTCATTCTATTTTATGTGACTATCCCCCCCTTCTGCTTTGCTATTACGTACATTTTGGCTTTTTAAATATAGAATATTGCTTGACTTGGAACATTCTGCAATTATGTTTTTCAAATCAGCTAGTTTTTAAATTTTGGACTAAACTAGTAGATTAAATCTGAACATCAATAGCCCCATAAGTTATTAACTAAAACTAATTTTGCCAAATTTTTATAAGAAAGTTGTGTAATTTACGGCTACTATGGGTAACTTAAGCTGTAGTTAATTTTTGTCTATTTTTTTTTCGGAAATAAGCAAACTATATTAGTACTCGCAGATTCGAATGTTCGTCACCGAACGTACTCGCTCTTTTAGCTGTAAAGACGTTATAAAGTGACGGTCAATCCCACTATTCGTTGGTAAACGATTATCCCAAGAGTTGGCGGTGGGTGGTGATGACTAGCTGCCTTCCCTCTAGTCTTACACTACTAAATTAGGGACGAATAACGCAAATAGCTCTCGATTAGCATTGCGTGAAGTTCACACCATACCAAATCTTATATATTTTATCTTTGATTCCTTGAAAATAATGAATTATTCAATAAATACTCTCTATAAGTATCTTAAGTATACACTTTAGTGCTTTGTGTCGATTAATCGCACGTTTTTAAAATAAGTACCAATATAAATACTTTGTCTTTAGTACTTCACTGTAAAAAACAAATAAGAATTGTGTTTGAAATAACACATGGTGTTTAAATGGCGCCCCGGTGGCTCAGCAGGCTTATAGCACTAAAAATCGGGATTCGATACCTTTGGTGGACAGAGCACGGGCTAAAACAGAAATTTAAGTTCAAAATAACAATGTTATTATGGACTAACAAAATAGAACCTAAAGGCGTTGATTGATACATAATGTTTTGATAACTTTTAAGCAATCCCATACATTAAGATGTGATTTTCACAACAACCCAAAGTACTTAAATAATCACAAGCACGCCATTTGTGTTATTACAAATCACAAAAAAATGTGTATGTATATATCCCTACAATAATCTTGTTAGAGTTAACATAAATCTGCAGTTGGGGAACACAATTTGAGCTTTCGTAACACAATGTTTGTGTTAATTTTTGTTTCTGAAATAACAAAATGTTTGTGCTAATTTACAACATAATCTATTTACAAACTTGTTTATACAAACCAATCGCTAAAGTTTCTTAAATTTCTCCGAAATCTATAATTTTGTATTTACAAATATATAACTATTGTTATAATTAAGAATCTAACTAATATATATATTAATAATTTACTTAATTCTTATTTATTCATTCACATTTCGGTAAGCTGAAAATTTTACTGGTTGTGCTGTTTACATAATTAGCTATGTAAACATTCCAAAGTGTAGATGTATATTTGTATTTATGTTTACTTGATTTTTGAGCTCCTCTCTCAAACATTACATGTAAAGTCTTAGTCCTCTCAGACTGTAAACAAGAAAACAATTGAAAAACAACAACAACAAAAAGTGAACAGAACCCTAAAATGAAGATTTTTCGGGTTTAATTGAAACGATTTACTTTGAAATTCAGTTCATTGAAATTTTAAAATTTCATCAGCAAATATGGATGGCCAGATGTTTTGGGGGCTCTCGGGACGTTTTTTTTTTTGTTGTTTGTTATTATGTCAAAAGCTACACAATGGGCTATGTTTTTTTATGCTCATCACGGGTATCAAAACCCAGGTTTTAGCGTTATAAGCTTTCAAACTTACTTTTGAGCTACAGAGAGACCCTCAGGACGGGATCTAAGGATTTATATTGGAATTCGAATGCACTACATAAAGAATAAGCTAGCAGAATAATAGAATTTGGTAATTTTCCCATAGGTAGGTTTCAAACATATAAAACAAATGTTTTTCCAGTGTAAACCACCTCTGACAGTTTATATATATATTTAAATTATACAAATATGTGATTCGTTTTCCTAAAGTCTGTTTCTCGGGAAAAGGGTAAATGTTGTCTTTGTAAACTAACCTTTTAATTATTTGGTTTGCATGTAGAAAATGATTATGTAAACAATGAGGAAGAAAAGTATGAAAGGTAAAGACACTACTACGAGAATGTCACCTTTATCGCTAGAGAATTGACTAACCAGAGTATAATTAGTATTGTCAGTGTTAACAGTTTACTATGATTGGTTGTCATTGAACTAATCAGAAGTACCACCTGAGTAAACAGCCAGTAAAAGAAGAGGCAGTCATACTATACCCAGTAGTAGTAGTGGTAGTAGTAGTAGTGTGTATCCAAGAGCGGAAATGCCGCACGACTGGTACTGGTCAGTGATACTCTATGCTACATTTGCGGCAAAACTCCATGTTTCGGTAAGAACTGTATGCAAGCTGAAGAAAGTATATGAAGTGGGCGAGGTAGAAAATCAAACTCTCCTATAGTAATGTTAATAATCTAAGGGAATGTCTTTTCCAAGTAGACGAGAACAAGTATAGATCTTGGCCACGACCTCGTTGTAAATACTGGTGTAAATGACAGTTCGACAATGGTAAGATAAATGTTAAAAGTCATGGTCACAGTGGAGATGCAACTACTCTAAAACTATTGCTGAGATGAAATAATCAAAGGAAAAGTTTAAAATGAGCATCAGATTATAAATAGCGGAAAAAGCTAAGATGAATCCAACCTCAAATTGTTCGCCACAATCAACAGTAGATTGTTGATGCCATAGAGGAGAAGTGTTTACTTTACAATATTTACAGTGAAGCATGATGGGGGATCAGTACAAGTATCCCAGACATCGGTGTCAGTGATTTACACAAAACTGATGGCACTCATCGAAAGAGGATCCATATTCCGACAGGACAATTATCCCATATATATACACACATCACATGTGGTGAAATGATAGACTGGCTTATGTAAACGCTAAGAAGATCATGACGTAACCAAGCAGTTTGACTGACTTGCAAGGAGTAGAATAGAACCTTTGGAACAATAGTCCACAGTTAAATTGTGTGTCAGCAGGAAAACGATGGGCATATAAAGCTCAGTGTAAAGAAAATGGCTTATACGTAAAATGCTAGTGCACTGTACAACTTATTTTATTTTCTTTTTCAATTTTGTTTTGTACTTTTAATAAATTCACTATTTAGTTACCACTACTCATTGTTTATGAGTCCAGTAGGTGTTTCGCTTGTTTTTTTGTTGTTGTTTTTATAATTATTTTCACTATTCTACGTTTGTCCCCAGGTGGAACAGCGGTAAGTTTACGGTAGACACAGCAGATAGCCTAATGTGGCTTTGCTGTGAAACAACCAACAAACAAACAAGCAAACAAACAAACAACTATATATTCTGTAATATTCATTATGCAATGTTATTTCAAGCTTAAACATCCCAATTTCACAAATTCCGTTAACTGTTTCAGATACATTATAGCGAAATTACTTATATTGTAAGATATTTATTTATCCACAAGGAGTTGGAAATAGCACATCCTTCTGTCTTTCTTCAATATTAACTTAAAATGTAATTTTGCATAACTTATGATATTTGTAAGACCTATAAAATAAACATGATATCTTAATTAAATAGTACTAATTAATTATAATTAGAACATTTAGAAAGCAAATAATTACTATATAGGGTTACATTTATAAGTACTAAGACCCCTACAGCTAACTCTTCATACCTTTCTGTACTGGTAAGTTTTATAAATGTATTTAAGTAGAGTTATACAAGAAGTTTCTAATTACTTGTGAAACGTTTCAAAATTTATGCGTTCTAGCTTAGATATTTGTTGATGTTACACTAAGTAAATGAATTGATTGGATAGAGAAATATTAAAAGAAAATACATTACTGTATACAGGGAGATAGTAGTATAAGAATTATACTTACTACTTGAGTGCAAAGCATTATGGGAAATTTATATCGTGTAAGAAATAATTCAAACACATGAATGTAGTTTACTAGCGAACTTTAAACATCCAAGCCTACAAAGTATTTATTAAATATAAAAATCTATAAAAGTTATTAAATGTAAAACTCAATAAACTATAGTGTTCATGCCACAAAATTTGTTGTTGGTTTTTTTGCTTACTTACAATATCCTGGCAGAAGATGTACAACACCTGTACTTTACATTATTAATGCTATCTTCTCACATACATACCTTATGCTGAAAAGCAAGATCACCAAAGAAAATCAACAGCATATACGAGTGAAGATTGAGGTATACTATGCACCACATAGGTAGAGGGGGATCGTATTTTACTTGTGGAACATGAACCTTGGTTAGAGAGAAAAAAACAAAAAACTCTTAGACAAAGATAATTCAGCTTTGACAACAACAACAATAGATAATTACTTACCACTGATATTGTAACCAAGTCACGTGAAATAACAGCATGCTAAAATTAATTTATTGTGGTACATAATACTTTATGTTGGAGAAGTTATTTCTGTGACACTACGTTACAGTATTAGTGATGATAATTTTAACAAGTGTTCCTGTACTTTATCTCGAGTGCTACATGCTGCTGCCTGTTAGATCTTCTGTTCAAGACCAGAACTCATCAGTTCAGCTGGGAATTGTAACACATGAAAGTCATTTGCAAGATATTAACTATTATGATGTGTGTTCGAGATGTTATCGTATTCTTCTTACTAGAATAATATCCTCTACCTACTAAAGAAAGATGTATTAAATATAATACTGCATAAACAACCGATCTAAATTTATAGTTTCTTTCTCACGGAGCACTTTCCCCTGAGAAAATCACAAGAGCTTCGATTTGTGTTAATAACAGATCATATTCTATAACTTGCAAAGCGAGATACAAATGGGATTACACAGTAAAAGCCTGTGCATCATAACCCATAGTTAACGTTTTGCATAACGTATTGCTTTCTTTTTTTAACAGTAAGTTAAATAGATAGACTGCCTCTCGTGTGAGATCATAAAGTGAAACAGATTAAAATTTTTTTATTACGGTTAAGAAAGAAAACGAATATATATATATATATATATATATATATACATAGAGAGAGAGAGAGAGAACGTAGAAGTACGACGAGAAGAAACGAAGGAAACAACTACTACAACTAAACTAATTACATAGATAGTACTAGTTAGAACTACTTAACGTTATTTTACTAGTT